AATGTTCTAATTTAGATTTTTCAATTTTTAAATGTGTTTCCCAAATTTTGAATCTTTCAAAATTTCTCGATTTGCATTTTTTCAATTTTTTGAGCTTTCAGCTTTTCCGCCTTTTAATTTTTAATTTTTCTATATTTTATTTTTTCAATTTTTCGATTTTTTGACTTTTCGACTTTGGAATTTTTCAATTTGCAGTTCTTCAATTTTACAATTTTTCGATTTCCCAAATTTTTCAATTTTCAGTTTTGCCAATTTTTAATTATTCGATTTTTCAATTTTCGATTTTAGTTTCCTGATTTTTAATTCCTCAATTTTTCAAAAGAGAATTATTTTATTTCCAATTTTTCATTGAAATTTTAGATATTTCAATTTTTGAATTTTCAGATTTTCGTTTGTTTTAGTTGCATTTTCAATTTTTCGAATGTTCAAATTTACGTTTTTCAATTCAGATTCAAAATTTCAATTCAATGATTTTCCAAATTGTGAATCTTTCAAAATTTCTTGATTTGCGTTTCTTCGATTTTACAGTTTTTTTTTTAATTTTTTTAGCTTTTACGCCTTTTAATTTTTCTATATTTCGTTTTTACAATTTTTGGATTTTTTTGACTTTCGACTTTGGAATTCTTTGGAAATTTCTCAATTTGCAAGTCTTCGATTTTACAATTTTTTTTTTCTCTAATTTTTTCATTTTTCAGATTCCCTGATTTTTAATTTTTCTATAATTCAATTTTTCGTTTTTTCAAGCTTCGACTGTCAGTTTTTGGAATGTTCAACTTGAAATTTTTAAGTGTTTCGATTTTTCGACTTTTGAAATTTTTTCAAATTTTCCAATTTTAGAATTTCTCGTTTTTCCAAATTTTTCAATGTTCGGTTTTATTTATTCTATTTTCAGTCTTTGATTTAACAGTTTCCTGATTGTTAATTCCTCAATTTTTCAAAATTGAGAGTGTCATTCTTTTCAGTTTTTCATTGCACAAATTTTAGACTTTTCAGTTTTTGATTTTTCAATTTTTCGCTTTTCTCAGTTGAATTTTTCAGTTTTTCGATTTTCAATTTGTCGAATGTTCAAATTTAAATTTTTGAATTTTGTGCATCAAAATTTCGTTTTTTTTTTACAAATTTTAAATCTTAAAATTTCTCGAGCCACATTTCTTCGATTTTAGAATTTTTCTTTTTTTCAATTTTTCTTTTTTCTCAACTTTCAGCTTTCCCGCCTTTTAATCTTTCTATATGTTATTTTTTAAATTTTTCGAATGTACAGCTTTCAATTTTTAATTTTTTCGAGATTTGACTTTTCGACTTTTAGATTTTTTTTTCATATTTTTCGATTTTCAGTTCTTCAAATTTACACGTTTTCGTTTTGTTCAGTTTTCCATTATTTTTTAATTTTTTCCCTTTTTAATTTTCTCTTTTTTGATTTTTTGATTTACAAGGTTTCGAGTATCCGATTTGAAAATTTTAATTTTTCAATTATTATACGTTTTTTAAATACATTGAATCTGAATTTTTAAGTTTTTCCAGTTTTGAATTTTAATTGTTTCAATTTTTAAAATTTTGGTTGTTCGTTTTTGAGTTTTCCGATTTTTATTTTTCAATATTTCAGTTTTTGGATTTTCAATTTTTCGAATATTCAAATTAAAATTTTTCAAATTCTTGGATTTTTCCATTATTTTTCAATTATTAATTTTTCGATTTTTCATTTTTTTTCGATTTGTGCATTTTTCAGTTTTCAATTTTACAGTTTCTTGATTTTAAATTTCTCAAAACTGAAAAAATTTCATTGTAAAAATTTAAAATATTTAAACTTTTTTGATTTTTCAAATTTGTTTTTTTTCCGTTTTCGAATGTTCAAATTTAAAATTTTCAATTTTTCGATTTTTCAAAATTGAATTATTTCAAATTCTTGTTTGTAATTCTTCAATTTTACAATTTTTCATTTTTCCGATTTCCCCCATCTTCAATTTTTCGATTTATCGACTTGAGAATTTTTTCAAATTTTCCGATTTACATTTCTTCAATTTTACACAAAGTTTTTCGGTTTTATATTTTAAATATTTCAATTTTTTGATTTTTTAATGTTTCGTTTCTTTCAGTTTCTTGAGTTTCAAATTTTTCGAATGTTCAGATTTACATTTCAAAATTTTCTTTTTTTTGATTTTTAAAATTTTGAATTTTTTCAAATTTTTCGATTTGCAATTGCACGATTTTACAATTTTCTGTTTTTCAATTTTTTTAGTTTTCAGTTTTTGCTACTTTTAGGTTTTTTAATGTTTCAATTTTTCATTTTTGCAATTTTCGACTCCGAATTTTTTTCAAATTTTTTGATTTGCTGCTCTACATTTTTACAGTTTTTGGTTTTTCCATTTTTCAGTTTTTTAGTTTCACAATTTTTATTTTCGCTTTTTTGATTCTTCGATTTACAACTTTTCGAGTATCAGTTTTAAATTTTTAATTTTTTAACTATTCAGTTTTTCGAATTTTGAATTTTAATTTTTTCAATTTTTCGGTTTTTTATTTTTCATTTTTAAAGTTGCCCAATTTTTTGCTTCCGATTTTTTAGGTTCTCCATTTTAAATTTTACGATATTTCAATTTTGGATTTTCAATTTTTCAATGTTCAACTTTAATTTTTTTCAATTTTTTTTATGCAATTTTTTGTTTTTTGAATATTTTCGTTTTTCAGTTTTGTTGATTTTCCAATATACGATTTTTCAGCTTCGTTGTTTTTATATTCTCGATTTTTGGTTTTTGGATTTAAGTTTTCGAGTAACCAGTTTAAAATGTTCAATTTTACGTTTTTTATATTTGGTTTTTTTCAGATTTTCGTTTTTTAATTTTTCGTTCCTTATGTTTCTCGATTTCATTTTTTCGATTCTTTAGTTTCTAAGTTTTTAACTTTTCGATATTCCAGTTTTTAAATTTTCAGTTTTTCGAATGTTTCACTTTCAATTTTAAATTATTTCGTTTTTTCAGCTTTTGATTTTTTTTATTTTTCGATACAATTTTAATTTTTTCATTTTTTTGCCATTTTTTAATTTTTCGATTTTTAGGCTTTGGAATTTTTTTAAATTTCTTGATTTGCAGTTCTTCGATTTTACAATTTTTTCGTTTTTTCAATTTTCAGTTTTTCAGTCTCACGATCTTAATTTTCACTTTTTTGAGTTTTCGAGTGCCCAGTTTTTTTTTCTTCATTTTAAAATTGCCTAATTTTTAAATTCCGATTTTTCAGTTTCTAGATTTTGAATTTTTCGATATTTCAGTTTTCGATTTTCAACTTTACTTTTTTCAATTTTGTTTTAATACAATTTTTAATTTTTTGGAAATTCCATTTTTCGGTTTCTTTTATTTTCTCGATTTTTGGTTTTTCGATTTAAGTTTTCGAGTATCTAATTTAAAATTTTTTAGTTTTACGTTTTTGAAATTTTGGTTTTTCTAGATTTTCGTTTTTAATTTTTTTTCTTATGTTTCCCGATTTCGTGTTTTTGATTCTCCAGTTTCTAGGTTTTTAAATTTTCGATATTCCAGTTTTAGTTTTCAATTTTTCGAATGTTTTATTTTCAATTTGCATTTTTTTTTCGATTTTTCAGTTTTTGTTTTTTTTAATTTTTCGATATATTTTTTTATTTTTCCCGTTTTTAAATTTTTAGATTTTCCAATTCCTGATTTTTTCAGTTTCGCTATTTTAAAGTTCTCGAGCTTCCAGTGTTCGGATTTACAAGTTTTCGAGTTTAAACTTAAAAATTTTTCAGTTTTTTAATTTTTAATTTTCGTTTTTTATGTTTCTCGATTTTTACTTTTTCGAAATGTGAGTTTTTTAATGTTCAACTTTCAATTTTTCAATTTTTAGATTTTTCGGCTTTGGAATTTTTTTAAATTTTCGGTTTTTGAGTTTGACCATTTTTATTTTCTCTTTTTTGTCTTTTCGATTTACAGTTTTCGAATATCCAGTTTATAATTTTTAATTTTTCAATTTTACGCTTTTTCAAGTACATATTCAGCTTTTGATTTTACAGTTTTTCGAGTTTTGAATTTCAATTTTTTCAGTTTTTTGGTTTTTAATTTTTCATTTTTGAAACTGCCCGATTTTTTAGTTTCTAAATTTTAATTTTTTTTATTTAACATAATTTTGTGTTCTTTCAAAATTCCCATTTTTAGTTTTGTGAGTTATTTTCTCGATTTTTGGTTTTTCGATTCAAGTTTTCGAGTATCCAATTTCAGATTTTCGCTTTTTAATTTTTGCTTTCTTATGTTTATTCCAGTTTTTCATTTTGCAGTTTTCAATCTTTTGGATTTTCCAGCTTTTGATTTTTTAAGTTTTTCTTTTTTTTTTCATTTTTCCTGTTTTTTAATTTTTCGATTTCCGATTTTTCAGTTTCGAGATTCTTAATTTCTAGAGTTTTTAGTGTTCAGATTTACAGATTTTCCAGTTTTGAATTAAATTTTTCAACTTTTAAATTTTTTAGTTTTTTGATTTTTAATTTTTGTTTTTTAAGTTTCCCAATTTTTAAATTTTCGACGTCCGAGTTTCTTGATTTTTAATTTTTCAACATTTTACTTTTTTTTTGAATGTTCAATTTCAAATTTTTCGATTTTGATTTCTTTTTCAAATTTGTCAGTTTTCAATTTTTTCTTTTTTAAATTTTTTGAAATGTCTCGACTTTTATCTTTCCGTTTTCTCAATTTTTAATTTTTTTTGGTTTCCTGTTTTTTAATTTCTCAATTTCTCAAAACTGAGATAGTTTACAACGGTTAACTTTATTTAATTATGAATTAAGAAGCGTAAATAACAGTTCGAAGTTTGTTAAAATTGACTTTAAAATGAGAACAGTTTACCAGAATGGTAATTGCTTTCACAAAATTTAAAAAACTGTGCTTGTGTGTTCAAAAAATGTCAAAAATGACATGAAGTACAGCAACTGTATTCAGAATTAAAACTGAAATTTTTTTTACAAAATTCGTAGAACTGACCACAAACCTGAAAGTTGTCTAAAAAAACAACCCTTTCCCAAAAACTTGTATTTGCGTCCTCAAATAAAAAACAATTATACTAAAACATGTTTATTTCGTCATTGTCAGTATCACTAGTCTCTCGTGTCTTTGGATGTGGATGTAGAAGTATGTCTTTTAGTCACCAGTCATCATTTCCATAAACTCTGTAAAAAAACCAACACAATCACCAGCCACTGCACCGCCACCACTTACCATCAAAATCAACCGTCCCAGAGCCATCCGTATCAATCTCCGCGATAATCCCATCGAGATCCCTGCTGGTAAGATTATCATCCAGCGCCGCCAGAATCTCCTTGAGCGTGGCCGTGGTGATGTACCCGTTACCCTCCCTGTCGTACAACCTGAAGGCCTCCTTCAGCTCCTGCTGCGTGGACTCGTCGTCGTCCTCCTCCAGGAAGTGCGACGCGATGTTGTAGAACCCGTCGAAGTTGACGGTGCCGCTCTTCTCCGGGTCGTTCTGCGTGATCAGCTTGTTCAGCTCGACGTCGTCGAAGAGCTGCCCCATGGTGTTGAGGATGGTCTTGATCTTGGACGTCTCAATAAACCCGGACTTCGAGGTGTCGAACATCTGGAAGGCCTTGCGCATGATGGCCATCTTCTGGTCGTCGCCGTCCTGGAACGCGAAGCTCGTTGACGAGGCCGCGGAACTAATAAGGAGCTAAGGCGGGCCCTGGAGCCGCTCCAAACCATTTTTACGTGTCGTCAATCAAAAAGGGTTGGTTTGGAGTGACGCAACGGCCGGTTGTTCGACTTACCATCTCGAGATGCCTCTGGAATGCTGTTAGCTCAAAAAATGAAACCCCAACAGACACTGTCAAAATTTATGTAAACCTCCGATTATATATTTCCCCTACTCCGCTGCAGCCCGACGCAAAATTTTATAAACGTGTAAAATATTTCACGTCTGAACGGGCTAGAAATTGTTATTGTTAGGTGCAAAAACGAGACCTGTCAAGAAGTGGATCATTAGTCTCCTCCATCATTATTCGCGAAGTGTTGTCGTTTGCACGCGCTATTATTAAAATAGAACTGAAACGAGGATAATTTTTTAGAGCGCATTTTTCCGATTGTCGATGAATCACGGTTTGGACACTTTTACGCCGAGATAACCGAAGTACGCGGCTTAAAATAGAAGGGTGCACTATTTACAAGCCTTCGATTCGGGATTTATGCGGGAATAGTGTCGCAGGCGTGCAGGGGCGGACCGAGCCGAGATTTACCGCTTTTGGGGTTCCAATCCAGCCACTTAGTCACAACAGTTGTTCCAACAGCGCGTGATTGGTCGTTCGCAGATATTGACTCCGACAGCGAATTTACGACGTTTGTGTACTCGTATATTATATAATTTATTGCTTCAAAATTCACGAAGACGGAATGAGAATCTACAAAATGGTGCGCCGCTTCAGGAAAACTCGATTTTGACTTATCTCGTTTTTAGCATGTCTTTGGCCTCGTTTCGCAAGCTCGCCGCTTGCTCGCAAAACAAACTATCGAAAATAACTCCTATAATTTGGAGTCGAACGGCCATAAAATCTTTACGAATGGTCAAAAATTAAGTAAAAGCAACAAAAAGGCGCGGAATGAAAGCGTTTTCGCGATTATAAAGTTGTTAGTGTTGTTGGCAGGAGGCATTATTTTTCCATCAACATCCAAGATCATTTTATGTTTGTAGTTTTGTACGACAATAAATTCGGGCGAGATCATACGCGTGTTTTACAGCGAATGTTATGTGTTGTGTTTATCGCCGTTTATCGCAATTAATTTAAGGCGGCGGTTACTTCAAACGTGGCGGGTAGATGGCGCTTTAAATTACGTGTTTTAGTACGGAGAGGAGGAGATTTGTTGAAGAAATATGAATTCGTGTCGCTGTCTTTCTATAAAGAATAATGCATCGAGCATAATTTGCGTATTTTAGATTTTTCATCGAGCGAAGCGAGCTATATAGTTTTTTCAGCAATTTTTTCACCACGTTTCCCGAGATTTCCTTAACGCTATTTTTAAAGAAGAAATAATAATTTGTACCTGGGATTTCTACCCCAATTATGCACCTTTAGTGTGATGCTTCTCAAAAATGAACCATAATTTTTTCAGAAGTTACTTCAGCGAGTGAAGCGAACTCTAGTATAATGCTTCCAAAAATGTACCACCAGTTTTCCCAAAAAGTTTTCCGCAAGTTAAGCGTCTAGTGTTACTGCTAAAAATGAACCATTAGTTTTCCTGACATTTCCAGAGCGAAATCACAACTTGTACCCTAATTATTCCCCATTTAAGCCCACTTAAGTGTTCCACTAAAAATGAACCATCAGTTTTCTTGAGATTTTTTCAACGAACAAAGCGAAGTCTAGTGTGTTGCTTTTAAGAATGAACCTTCAGTTTCTTGAGGTTTTTTCCGCAAGTAAAGCAGAATATAGTGTGCTACTGTTAAAAATGTACCAACAATTTAGTCGAAATTTTTTCCAGAACTACCAAAACAAAGTCTAGTGTGCTGGTTCTAAAAATGAACCACCAATTTTCTTGCGATTTTTCCTCCAACTAATAGAAATTTCAGTGTGCTACTGCTAAAAATGAACCACCAATTTTCCCCAAATTTTTGTACTATTTTCAAAAATGAATCCATAACTACACTCAGAATTTTTGCCCAGTGCAGCCAATTTAAGTGTACTATTTTAAAAAATGAACCATCCATTTCCCCGAGATTTCTTCAGTGCACGAAGCGAATTCTAGCGTGGTGTTCTTAATACAGAACCACCAGTCTTCTCTAGATTTTTCCCGCAAGTACAGCAAAATCTACTGTACTACTGCTAAAAATGAACCATCGTTTTCCCGAAATTTTTTGTGCCATGAAAGCAAATTTTAGTGTTCTAGATGGAAAATGAGCCATTAATTTACTAAAAATTTCTTCAGCAAACTCTGTTGTACTAAAAATGAACCACGAGTTTTTTCGAGATATTTTCACAATTTATATTCGGGATATCTTCGCCAATTAGGCTAACTTTAATGTACCACTTATAAAAATGAACCGGTATTTTACCCGAGATGTTTTCAGTGGTTCTAAAAATGAACCACTAGTTTTTTCGAAATGTTTCCCACAAGTAAAGCAAAGTAGTACGATAAAAATGAACCATCAGTGTTCCCGAGATTTTTTTAGCGAACGAAACGAATTCTAGTTTTATACTTCTAAAAATGAAGTACCGGTTTTCCCAAAGCGAACTCTTTGTTTACTATTTCTAAAAATGAACCACTAATTTTCCCGAGATTATTTCCGTACGTTAAGTGAACTCTAGTTTGACAATTTGCATCTGGGATTTCTTCTCCAATTCAGCTAACTTTAGTGTACTACTTCTAAAAATGACCATCAACTGATGGTAAAAAGAGTAAACTTACCCTTAAAAATGAAACCACAACTTGTACTCGAGATTCTTTCCAAAAGTAAAACGAACCCTAGTGTGCTGCTTCTAAAAATGAACCACCGGTTTTCTCAACATTTCTCCCGCAAGTAGAGCAGAAACTAGTGTGCTACTTCTTAAAATGAACCACAAGTTTACGCGAAATTCATTCCACAAGTAAAGTGAACTCTGGTTTGTTACTGCTAAAACGAACCACCAGTTTTCCCAAAATTTCTTCAGCAAGCCAAGCGAACTCAAGTATGCGACTTCTAAAAATGAACCACTAGTTTATTCAAGATTCTTGCCGCGAGTAAAATGTATTCTATCTACTACTTGTAAAATGAACCACCAGTTTCCTCTACAAGTCTCGAGAGAGCGAAATAAATAAAACTACTTCGAAAAATGAACCATTATTTTTCTATAGATTTCTTCAGAACCAAGCTAACTTTAGTGTATTGCTTCTAAAAATGAATCACCAGTTTTCTCGAGATTTCTCCCGCAAGTAGAGCAGAAATTAGTGTGCTACTTCTTAAAATGAACCACAAATTTACCTGAAATTCCTTCCACAAGTAAAGTGAAGTTTGGTTTTGCTACAGCTAAAAACGAACCACCACTTTTCCAAAATTTCTTCAGAAAACCAAGCGAACTTTAATATACTACTTCTAAAAATGAACCACTAGTTTATTCAAGATTCTTCCCGCAAGTAAAACGAATTCCAGCTACTATTTGTAAAAGTGAACCACCAGTTTCCTCTACAAGTTTCGAGAGAGTGGAAGAAATTAAATTACTTTTAAAAATGAACCACCATTTCTCTATAGATTTCTTCAGAACGAAGCGAACTTTGGTCTACTGCTTCTAAAAATGAATCACCAGTTTTCTCGAGATTTCTCCCGCAAGTAGAGCAGAAATTAGTGTGCTACTTCCTAAAATGAACCACAAGTTTACCTGAAATTCTTTCCACAAGTAAAGTGAACTTTGGTTTGTTACAGCTAAAAATGAACCACCAGTTTACCAAAATTTTTTCAGCAAACCACGCGAACTCTAGTATACTACTTCTAAAAATAAACCACTAGTTTACTCAAGATTCCTTCTGCAAGTAAAATGACCTGTAGCTACTATTTGTAAAAATGAACCACCAGTTTCATCGACAACTCTTGAGAGAGTGGAAGAAATTAAACTAGTTCTAAAAATGAACCATTATTTTTCTATAGATTTATTCAGAACCAAGCGAACTTTAGCGTACTGCTTCTAAAAATGAATCATCAGTTTTCTCGACATTTCTCCTGAAAGTAGAGCAGAAACTAGTGTGCTATTTCTTAAAATGAACCATAAGTTTACCTGAAATTCTTTCCAAAAGTAAAGTGAACTTTTGTTTATTAGTCCTAAAAATGAACCACCAGTTTTTTCTAAAATTTCTTCAGCAAGTCAAACGAACTCTAGTGTATTACTTCTAAAATGAACCACTAGTTTACTCAAGATTCCTTTCGCAAGTAAAATGAACTCTAGCTACTACTAGTAAAAATGAACCACCAGTTTCCTTGAAAATTTTCGAGGGAGTGGAAGAAATTATAGTAAATTACTTCTAAAACTGAATCATCATTTTGCTATAGATTTCTTCAGACAACGAAGCGAACTTTGGTGTATTGCTTCTAAAAATGAACCACCAATTTTCTAAAGAATTCTCCCGCAAGTACAGCAGAAACTAGTATACTACTTCTAAAAATGAACCACAAGTTTACGCAAGATTTTTTCCAACAACGAAAGTGAACTTTGGTTTGCTGCTGCTAAAAATGAACCACCAGTCTTCCTAAAATGTCTTCAGCAAGTCAGGCAAACTCTAGTTTACTAGTTCTAAAAATGAACCACTAGATTACCCAAGATTCTTTCCGCAAGTAAAATGAACTCTAGCTACTACTTGTAAAAATGAACCACTAGTTTACTCAAGATTTCTTTCGCAAGTAAAATGAACTCTAGCTACTACTAGTAAAAATGAACCACCAGTTTCCTTGAAAATTTTCGAGGGAGTGGAAGAAATTAGAGTAAACTACTTCTAAAACTGAACTACCAGTTTTCTCGAGATTTTTCCCGCAAGTAGAGCAGAAAGTAGTGTAATACTTCTTAAAATGAACACAAGTTTACGCGAAATTCTTTGCACAAGTAACGTGAATTTTGGTTTCTTACTGCTAAAAATGAACCACTAGTTTTCCCAAAATTTCTTCAGCAACCTAAATGAATTCCAGTTTATTACTTCTAAAAATGAACCACTAGTTTACTCAAGATTCATTCCGCAAGTAAAAAATTCTAGCTACTACTTGTAAAAATTAACCACCAGTTTCTTCTAAAATTCTCGAGGGAGTGGAAGAAATTAGAGTAAACTTGTCCTAAAAATGAACCATCGTTTCTCTACATATTTCTTCAGAGAACGAAGCGAACTTTACTGTACTACTTCTAAAAATGAACCACCAGTTTTCTCGAGATTTGTCCCGCAAGTAGAGCAGAAACTAATCTGCTATTTCCAAAAATGAACCCCCAGTTTACTCAAGATTTTTTCCACAGGTAGAGTGAACTCTAGCTACTACTTGTAAAAATTAACCACCTCGAAAATTCTCGAGGAAGTCAAGCGAATTCGAGTAAACTACTAAAAATGAACCTACTGCTTCTGAAAATAAACCACCAGTTTTCTTGAAATTTGTCCGGCAAGTACAGCAGAAACTAGTTTGCTACATCTTAAAATGAACAACAAGTTTACTACTGCTAAAAATGAACCACCAGTTTTCCCAAATTTTCTTCAGCAAAACAAAGCGAACTCTTGTATACTACTTCTAAAAATGAACCACTAGTTTACTCAAGATTCTTTACGCATATAAAGTGAACTTTGGCTACTAATTGTAAAGGTGAACCACCAGTTTCCTCGAAAATTGTCGAAGGAAGCGAATTCGAATAAACCACTTCTAAAAATGAACCATCATTTTTCTCTAGATTTTCTCAAAGAACGAAGCCAACTTTAGTATACTGCTTCTAAAATGAACCACCAGTTTTCTCGAGATTTGTCCCGCAAGTAGAGCAGAAACTAGTGTGCTACTTCTTAAAATGAACCACAAGTTTACTCAAAATTCTTTCTACAAGTAAAGTGAGCTTTAGTTTGCCACTGCTAAAAATGAACCATCAGTTTTCCCAAAATTTCTTCAGCAAGCCAAGCGAACCCTAGTGTACTACAAAAAATGAACCGCCAGTTCCTCGAAAATTCTCGAGGGAGTGAAGCGAATTCGAGTAAACAACATACTTCTAAACATGAACCATCATTTTTCTCTTGATTTCTTCAGCGAGCGAAGCGAGCGCTTCTTCTTAAAATGAACCAGCAGTTTAATTGAAATTTTTTCCACAAGTAAAGCGAATTCTAGTTTGCCATATCTAAAAATGAACCACTAGTTTTCCAAAGATTTCTTCAGGAAGTCAAACGAATTATAGTGTATTACTTCTAAAAATGAACCACCAGCTTCCAGAAATCATTTCCGTGAGTAAGTGAACTCTAGTTTGACAATTTGTATCCAGGATTTCTTCTCCAATTCAGCCAACTTTAGTGTGCTACTTCTAAATATGAACCACTAATTTACCCGAGATTTCTTCAGCGAGCGAAGCGAGATGTATAATGCTGCATAAGAAATGAAACCGCAACTTGTACTACTCCAGATTTTTCCCGAAAGTAAAACAAACTCTAGTGTGCTGCTTCTAAAAATGAACCACCAGTATTCTCGAGGTTCCCGCTAATGAAGCAAAATCTAGTGTGCTACTGCTAGAAATGAACCACCAACTTCCCCTAAATTTCTGTAGTGAGTGTAGCCAACTCAAATGTACTACTTCTTAAAATGAACCACGAGTTTACCCGAGATTTCTTCAGCGAGCGAAACGAGATGTATAATGCTGCATAAGAAATGAAACCACAACTTGTACTTCAGATTTTTTCCGAAAGTAAAACAAACTCTAGTGTGTTGCTTCTAAAAATGAACCATCAGTATTCTCGAGGTTTTTTCCGCAAGCAAAGCAAAATCTAGTGTGCTACTGCTGAAAATGAACCACTAACTTCCCCGAAATTTCTTCAGGGAGCGTAGCGAACTCAAATGTACTACTTCTTAAAATGAACCACGAGTTTACTCGAAATTCATTCCACAAGTAAAGCGAACTTTAGTTCGATACTGCTAAAAATGAAGGACCGGTATACGGAAAATTTCTTCAGCAAGATAAGCGAACTCTAACATACTACTTCTAAAATGTACCACCGCGATTATTTCAGTAAGTTAGGTGAAAACTGTTTTGATACTGTCTAAAATGAAACCAAAATTTGCACCCGGAATTTCTTCTCCAATTAAGCCAACTTTAGTATACTACTTCTAAAAATGAACCATCAGTTTTCCAGAGATTTCTTTAGCCAACAAAATGAACTCTAGTTTATTAGTAGTAAAAATGATCAATAATTTTTCCTGAAATGTTTGTGCTAGGAAAGAAAAATGTACTGTTCTACTGCTAAAAATGAACCATCAGTTTTCCAAAAATTTCTTCAGCAATCGAACTGAATTCTAGTGCATTAGTTCCAAAAATGAGCCACCAGTTTTTTCGAGATCATGACGGTAAGTTAGGTGAACTCTGGTTTATTACTTCTAAAAATGAACCAGTACTTTACGCGAGATTTTTTAAGCTAACGAAGCAAAGCCCAGTGTACTACTTCTAAAAATGAAGCACGAGTTTCACAGAAATTTCATTAGCTAGTTTTCTACTTCTAAAAATGAACCATAATTTTTGCCGAAATTTTTTGTGGCAGTAAAGTAAATTCTAGTTTTCCACTGCTAAAAATAAACCAGTAGTTTACCCGAGATTTTTTTAGCTAACGAAGCGACTTCTAGTTTACTACTTGTAAAAATGAACCACATTTTTTCCCGAAATTTGTGTGCTAGTGAAGCAAACTCTAGTATGCTACTGCAAAAATAGAACCACCAGATTTTTCCCACAAGTAAAATTTAGTACGATACTGCTAAAAATGAACCATCAATTTTCCAAACATCTATTCAGTGAGCTAAAGGAACTCTAGTGCGCTACTTCTAAAAATGAACCACTAGTTTACCCGAGGTTTCTTAAGCGAACGAAGTCCTGTGAAGCAAAGTTTAGTATGCTACTGCTAAAAATGAACCACCAATTTTCCCGAGAGTCCACAACTTCTAAAAATAAACTGCTACTAATAATGAAACGCTCTTGTACCCTTGATACTCTTTGATAAAATAAAATGCAATGTACCACTTCAAAAAACAGTGAAGTCAGAAAAACCAGTTTTCGGGCGATTTTTTCAGTACTTCTAAACATTGAAGACTGTTGAACCTGGATTTTTTTAGCTAGCGAAATTAATGATATTATTTTATTCTAGAAAACGGGACACGATAAGTATAGCAAGCGACCCACATTCTGCCATTTTTTTACCAGAAAAATCTGAAGAAAAATAATCATATTTTAGTCCATAAAATTATTTACTACTGATTTTCCGACCAACTTCTAATAATTTTCGTGGTGATAACTGGATCTCATCCATAATTTATAAACATCTGCTTAGGAAAATTGATAGTCTCGTAGATTTACCTATTTTTACGAAGTCCACCCACCGCTTTCAAAGTTTCGAGAAAATTAGATGAGTCGTTTCTGAGATAATCGACAAAATAAATCGGTTCATACATTTTTTTGTACTCTGCGTCAGTAGCATTTATTTTATAATTTTTTAGTAGGTACATATTACACCTCCAAACCAGTTCGCTAAATAGCTCTGTACTTTTTTAAGACTGTCGAAATGAATAAAGTTAAAAATAGCCGTGTTATGTTATCCACTCCGGCGGATGCACAATCTAAAGCAGCCGAAATTTCAAAGTAATCGGTTCGCTAGTCGTAATTATCGGCATGCAAATAAAATGCGGCACTCTCAATTAAAACCCAACTCAATTATTACAAACATCTCGAACTTTCAAGTCGAACAGAAAATAAACACCACGAACCCAAATACACGAAACGAAAGAATAAAGCAAGACGTAGGACGACTAAACGCAATAAAGCCTTCAGTGACTATCCGCGAATTTCTCATCCCGTCTCGTTTGAGAGTCGTTGAGCAATTTATCGATCTCTCGTGCTTAGAATAACAATTTCGCAGATGAATGTAACAAACGTAATCGAAAATAATTTTTTCGCACACTTCCGACGCTGCACAAGCGATTGGATAACAACATCTTTATCCAAATATTTGCCCAAACCCACCTGACATCCGAGCAAGTGGGTGCGAAAAGACGCAGTCAAAAAAACAAAGTAAAAGAAAAAGCAAAACCGGCTATTTTAAAGCGACCTTGGCAAAACTAACGAGAATGTGAAGATCCGAGTGACGTAAAAGCTTTTTTCGCACGGTCGATGCATCCACAATTTTCACGAAAGTCGTGACCCACTTGAATCGATTCCAACTCAAATGCTGTTTTAATTGTTTATTGAGTCTTTATAATGTTACATTTATCATTTATGACTAGTCTATGGCTACCTAGCAAGGTACAATAATGAGTTCGAGTCTGCTGGGCAGTGGCGGCGTTCCGGGGGCGCCACTATGTTGACTCTATTTTGGAACGTGCCCCCCGCGCCGCCGTCACTGCGTCCCCTCCGCCGCCCCCGTGCAAAATATGAGAAGTGTTTCGCATTAACTCGTCGTCAAAAATTCCTTCGGATGGTGGATAAATTTAGCTCGTTAATAAACAACTCGCGTGTGCTTTCTATCATGAATGAGATTCATTCCGGAATATTCCTTAATTTTATGGAGATGTTTCTACGGTTTACGGGACACTGAGTAATTGGGGGCGGCCTATTCGCACAGGATGTGCCACTGCTGGTTCTGCTCCATGGGGTTGGCGATGGCGGTGTTCCACTGGATGAGGGCCTTGCCTCGGGCGAACATGTAAGAGCCCAGGACGCATTTCCCGATGAGTTTGTCTGGAAAACAACCTGAAGATCATTTCAAAGGGAAAATTATAGGAAAGTCGATTTTTTTAGTTTCGTAAATTTCAATTTAATTGTTTTCTTATTAGATAATTCACGGTTAGAGAGTTTTAGAAAAAAAATAGGATCCTCTCTAGCTTTGGAAAAATTTTTGAAAATTATTTCTTGTGTTGTCGCTGTTGTGATATGGAAACATGTACAAGCCTCTGACGCATTTTCTGATAAGTTTTCCCAAAAATTTTTGAAAATTATTTCTTGTGTTGTCGCTGTTGTGATATGGAAACATGTACAAGCCTCTGACGCATTTTCTGATAAGTTTTCCCAAAAAACATTTGAAGATCGTTTAAATATAAAACAGTTGGTGCTAATTACAAAATATGTATTATAATTTTTTTATTTTTTGTTGTTTTAATTTAAAGATTTATGGCGAAGCCCATTTTAGTTTCACAAATTCCATCATCACACTCGAAACTTAAGTTGTTTCTTATTAGATAATTTACAGTTTCAGAAAAAAAATTATAGGATCGAATTAGCCTTTGGAAAATTTTTGAAAATTATTTTTTGTGAGACCCAATTTCCGATAAATTTGTCCAAAAAAAAAACACTGTGAAGGTCATTCTAAAAAGAAAAAACAACTTGTGGGATTTTCAAAATTTTATGATTTTTTTGTTTTTCTTTGTACATCTAATTTAAGGATTTATGATAAAACCCATGTCAGTTTCGTAAATTTCATCATCACAGTCGGAACCTAATTTTTTCGTATTAGAGAATTCACAGTTAAATAATTTCAGAAAAAATTATAGGATCTGATTCGGCTTTGGAAAAATTTTTGAAAATATTTTTTTGTCGGTTGTGTGATATGGAATCATTTACAAGCCTGAGACGTATTTTCCGATAAATTTGTCCAAAAAAAAAAACACAGTGAAGGTCATTTAAAAAAGATAAAACAACTTGTAGGATTTTCAAAATTTTATGATTTTTTCATTTTTCTTTGTATATCTAATTTAAAGATCTATGGTAAAACCCATCTCAGTTTCATAAATTTCTTCATCACAATCGAAACCTAATTTTTTCGTATTAGAGAATTCACAGTTAAACAATTTCAGAAAAAAATTATAGGATCTGATTCGGCGTTGGAAAAATTTTTGAAAATATTTTTTTTCGGTTCTGTGATGTGGAATCATTTACAAGCCTGAGACCCATTTTCCGATAAGTTTGACCAAAAAAACACAGTGAAGGTCATTTAAAAAGGAAAAAACAACTGGTGACATTTTGAAAATATTATCATTTTTTCATTTTTCTTTGTATAATTTAAAGATTTATGGTGAAACAAATCTCAGTTTCATAAATTTCATCATCACAGTCGAAACCTAATTTTTTCGTATTAGAGAATTCACTATTAAACAATTTCAGAAAAAAATAAAGGATCGAATTCGGCTTTGGAAAATTTTTGAAAATTATTTTTTGTGTTGCCGCTGCTGTGATATGGAATAATGAACAAGCCTGAGATCCAATTTACGATAGATTTACCCCAAAAAAAAAACACTGTGAAAGTCATTTAAAAATGAAAAAACAACTTGTGGGATTTTCAAAATTCTATGATTTGTTAATTTTTCTTTGTACATCTAATTTAAAGATTTATGGTAAAACCCATCTCAGTTTCATAAATTTCATCATCACAGTCGGAACCTAATTGTTTCGTATTAGAGAATTCACAGTTAAATAATTTCAGAAAAAAATTATAGGATCTGATTCGGCTTTGGAAATATTTTTGAAAATATTGTTTTTGTCGGTTCTGTGATATGGAATCATTTACAAGCCTGAGACGCATTTTTTGATAAATGTGCCCAAAAAAACACAGTGAAGGTCATTTAAAAAGGAAAAAATAATTGGTGACATTTTGAAAATATTATCATTTTTTTTATTTTCTTTGTGTAATTTAAAGATTTATGGTAAAACCCATCTCAGTTTCATAAATTTCATCATCATAGTCGAAACCTAATTTTTTTGTATTAGAGAATTCACGATTAAACCATTTCAGAAAAAAATTATAGGGTCGAATTCGGCCTTGGAAAAATTTTTGAAAATTATTTTTTGTGTTGTCGCTGCTGTGATACGGAATAATGTACAAGCCTCAGATCCAAATTCCGATAAATTTGTCCAAAAAAAAAAAAACCCACTGTGAAGGTCATTCAAAATAGAAAAAACAACTTGTAGGATTTTCAAAATTTTATGATTTTTTCATTTTTCTTTGTATACCTAATTTAAAGATTTATGATAAAACCCATCTCAGTTTCATAAATTTCATTATCACAGTCGAAACCTAATTTTTTCGTATTAGAGAATTCACAGTTAAACAATTTCAGAAAAAAATTATAGAATCGAATTCGGCTTTGGAAAAATTTTTGAAAATTATTTTTTGTGTTGTCGCTGCTGTGATATGGAATAATGTACAAGCCTGAGATCCAATTTCCGATAAATTTGTCCAAAAAAAAAAACACTGTGAAGGTCATTCAAAAAAGAAAAAACAACTTGTGAGATTTTCAAAATTTTATGATTTTTTCATTTATATTTGTATACCTAATTTAAAGATTTATGATAAAACCCATCTCAGTTTCATAAATTCCATCATCACACTCAAAACTTAAGTTGTTTTCTTAATAGATAATTCACAATTTCAGAAAAAAATTATAGGATCGAATTCGACTTTGGAAAAATTTTTGAAAATTATTTTTTGTGTTGTCGCTGCTGTGATATGGAATAATGTACAAGCCTGAGATCCAATTTCCGATAAATTTGTCCAAAAAAAGAAACACTGTGAAGGTCATTCAAAAAAGAAAAAACAATTTGTGGGATTTTCAAAATTTTATGATTTTTTTCATTTTTCTTTGTACATCTAATTTAAAGATTTATGGTAAAACCCATCTCAGTTTCATAAATTTCATCATCACAGTCGGAACCTAATTTTTTCGTATTAGAGAGTTCACAGTTAAACAATTTCAGAAAAAAATTATAGGCTCGAATTCGGCTTTGGAAAATTTTTGAAAATTATTTATTGTGTTGTCGCTGCTGTGATATGGAACAATGTACAAGCCTGAGACGCAATTTCCGATAAATTTGTCCAAAAAAAAAACACCGTGAAGGTCATTCAGAAAAGGAAAAACCACTTGTAGAATTTTCAAAATTTTATGATTTTTTCATTTTTCTTTGTATGTATACCTAATTTAAAGATTTATGATAAAACCCATCTCAGTTTCATAAATTTCATAATCACAGTCGAAACCTAATTTTTTCGTATTAGAGAATTCACAGTTGAACAATTTCAGAAAAAAATTATAGGATCGAGTTCGACTTTGGAAAAATTTTTGAAAATAATTTTTTTGTGTTGTCGCTGCTGTGATATGGAATAATGTACAAACCTGAGAGCTAATTTCCGATAAATTTTTCCAAAAAATAAACACTGTGAAGGTCATTCAAAAAAGAAAAAACAACTTGTAGGATTTTCAAAATTTTATGATTTTTTCATTTTTCTTTGTATACCTAATTTAAAGATTTATGATAAAACCCATCTCAGTTTCATTAATTTCATCATCACAGTCGAAACCTAATTTTTTCGTATTAGAGAAATCACAGTTGAACAATTTCAGAAAAAAATTATAGGATCGAGTTCGACTTTGGAAAAATTTTTGAAAGTTATTTTTTTTGTGTTGTCGCTGCTGTGATATGGAGTAATGTACAAGCCTGAGATTCAATTTCCGATAAATTTGTCAAAAAAAAAAACACTGTGAAGGTCATTCAAAAAAGAAAAAACAACTTGTAGGATTTTCAAAATTTTATGATTTTTTCATTTTTCTTTGTATACCTAATTTAAAGATTTATGATAAAACCCATCTCAGTTTCATAAATTTCATCATCACAGTCGAAACCTAATTTTTTCGTATTAGAGAATTCACAGTTGAACAATTTCAGAAAAAAATTATAGGATCGAGTTCGACTTTGGAAAAATTTTTGAAAATTATTTTTTTGTGTTGTCGCTGCTGTGATATGGAATAATGTACAAACCTGAGAGCTAATTTCCGATAAATTTTTCCAAAAAATAAACACTGTGAAGGTCATTTAAAAAAGAAAAAACAACTTGTAGGATTTTCAAAATTTTATGATTTTTTCATTTTTCTTTGTATACCTAATTTAGAGATTTATGCTAAAACCCATCTCAGTTTTATAAATTTCATCATCACAGTCGAAACCTAATTTTTTCTTATTAGGGAATTCACTGTTAAATAATTTCAGAAAAAAATTGTAGGATCTGATTCGGCTTTGGAAAATTTTAAAAAATTTATTTTTTGTCGGTGCTGTGATATGGAATCATTTACAAGCCTGAGACGCATTTTCCGATAAATTTGTCCAAAAAAACACAATGAAAGTCATTTAAAAAGGAAAACACAACAAGTGACATTTTTTCATTTTTCTTTGTGTAATTTAAAGATTTATGGTAAAACCCATCTCAGTTTCATAAATTTCATCATCACAGTCGAATCCTATTTTTTTCGTATTTGAGAATTCACGATTAAACAATTTCAAAAAAAATTATAGGATCGAATTCGGCTTTGGAAAATTTTTGAAAATTATTTTTTGTGTTGTCGCTGCTGTGATCTGGAACAATCTACAAGCCTGAGACGCAATTTCCGATAAATTTGTCAAAAAAAAAAAACCGTGAAGGTCATTTAAAAAAGAAAAACCACTTGTAGGATTTTCAAAATTTTATGATTTTTTTTCATTTTTCTTTGTATGCCTAATTTAAAGATTTATGATAAAACCCATCTCAGTTTCATAAATTTCATCATTATAGTCGGAACCTAATTTTTTCGTATTCGAGAATTCACAGTTAAGTAACTTCAGAAAAAAATTATAGGATCTGATTCGGCTTTGAAAAAATTTATGAAAATATTTTTTTGTCGTTTCTGTGATATGGAATTATTTACAAGCCTGAGACTAATTTTCCTATAAATTTGTTCAAAAAAACACAGTGAAGGTCATTTAAAAAGGAAAAAACAACTGGTGACATTTTGAAAATATTATAATTTTTTTATTTTTCTTTGTGTAATTTAAAGATTTATGTTAAAACCCATCTTAGTTTCATCAATTTCATCATCACAGTCGAAACCTAATTTTTTCGTAATAGAGAACTCACGATTAAACAATTTCAGAAAAAAATTATAGGATGGAATTCGGCTATGGAAAAATTTTTGAAAATTATTTTTTGTGTTGTCGCTGCTGTGATGTGGAACAATGTACAAGCCTGAGACCCAATTTCCGATAAATTTGTCCAAAAAAAAAAACACTGTGAAGGTTATTAAAAAAAAAAAAAAACTGTTGATGTTTTCAAAGTATTATGAATAATTTATTTTTTTTTGTTTTAGTTTAAAGATTTATGGTAAAATACATATCATAATCGAAACATTTTTTTTATTACAGAATTCACAGATAAACTATTTTAGATAGAAATTATAGGATCGTCTCCGGCTTTGGAAAAATTATTTCTTGCAATTTCTTGCATATATGAACCTCTGACGCATTTTCCGATAAGTTTGTCCAAAAAAACCACTGTGAAGATAAATTAAAAAAACAGCTGGTGCTCTTTTCAAAATATTGTGAATTTTTTATTTTTCCTTGTTTCTGTTTAAAGATTTATGGTAAAACACATTTTAGTTTTATAAATTTCATCATCATTCATCACACTAGAAACTTAATTTGTTTCTTATTAGACATAAATTTTTATAGTTAAATAATTTTAGAAAAAAAATATAGGATCTCTCCGGCTCTGGAAAAATTTTTGGAAAAATGTTTTTTTTGATTTTCGCTATGTGAATCATGAAAAGTATGAGACGCATTTTCCAATAAGTTTGTCCAAAAAACGCAGTGAAGATTATTAAAAAAAAAAAAAGAAAAAACAGCTGGTGACATTTTCAAAATATTGTGACTGTTTTTTTTTTGTTTTAGTTTATAGATTTATGGTAAAACCCATTTCAGTTTCATAAATTTCATCATCACAGTCGAAACTTAATTTTTTCGTATTAGAGTTAAACAATTTTAGAAAAAAATTTTAGGATCGAATTCGGCTTTGGAAAATTTGTGAAAATAATTTTTTGTGTTGTCCCTGTTGTGATGTGGAATCGTGTACAAGCATATGACACATTTTCCAATAAATTTGTCTAAAAAATAAAGATCTTTGAAAAAAAAACTGTTGATATTTTCAAAATATGTATTATAAATGTTTATTTTTTTTTGTTTGGTTTAAAGATTTGGGGTGAAATCCATTTCATAAATTTTATCATCACAATAGAAACCTAATTTTTTCTTATTAGAGAATTCACAGTTAAATAATTTCAGGAAAGAAATATAGGATCGAATTCGGCTTTGGAAAAATTCTTGAAAATTATTTTTTGTGTTATCGTTGCTGTGTTATAAAATCATTTACATGTCTGAGACTGAGTTTCCGATAAGTTGTCCAAAAAACACCTTGAAGATCATTTAAAAAAGAAAAAACAACTGGCGCCATTTTCAAAAGTTTATGAATTTTTAATTTTTCTTTGTATTGATGGTAAAACCCATCTCAGTTTCATAAATTTCATCATCACAGTCGCAATCTATTTTTTTCTTATTAGACAATTCACAGTTAAACAATTTCAAAAAAAAATTATACGATCGAATTCGGCTTTGGAAAATTTGTGAAACATTTTTTTGTGTTGTCGCTGCTGTGATGTGGAATCGTGTACAAGCAGATGACACATTTTCCGATAAATTTGTCTAAAAAATAAATATCATTGAAGAAAGAAAAAAAAACTGTTGATATTTTCAAAATATGTATTAAAAATGTTTCTGTATATTTTTTGTTTTGTTTAAAGATTTGTGGTGAAATCCATTTCATAAATTTCATCATCATAGTCGAAACCTAATTTTTTCTTATTAGAGAATTCAAGGTTAAACAATTCCAGAAAAAAAATTATAGGATCGTCTCCGGCTTTGAAAAAATTTTTCAATTATTTTTTGTGTTGTTGCTGCCATGATATGGAATCATTCACAAGCCTGAGACGCATTTTCCATTTGTTTATTTAAAAAATAAAGATCATTTAAAAAAGAAAAAAAAAGCTGGTGATATTTTCAAAGTATTGTAAATTTTTTATTTTTCTTTGATTTTGTTTTAAGATTTATGGTGAAACCCATTTCAGTTTCATAAATTTCATCATCACAGTCGAAACCTAATTTTTTCTTATTAGATAATTCACAGTTAAATATTTTGAGGAAAAAAATATAGGATCAAATTCGGCTTTGGAAAATTTGTGAAAAAAATTTTTGTGTTGTCGCTGCTGTGATGTGGAATCGTGTACAAGCAGATGACACATTTTCCGATAAATTTGTCTAAAAAATAAATATCATTGAAAAAAGAAAAAAAAACTGTTGATATTTTCAAAATATGTATTATAAATATTTTTTTTTGTTTTGTTTAAAGATTTGTGAAATCCATTTCATAAATATCGTCATCACACTCGAAACTTAATTTGTTTCTTATTATATAATTCACGATTAATCAATTTTAGAAAAAAAAAAATGGAATCGTCTCTGGCTTTGGAATTTTTTTTTATTTCTTTGTTTTCGCGTTGATGTGGAAATTTATAGTATAACCAAGTATGTAATTTTAAGTGCCATTATTGATTTTTATTAATTCGATTTTTTTTAAATCAAACTTTAGTCACTTTATTAGATTTTCCTTTTACAAAACGACTTCAAGTTCGTAATGTGGAAGAACTTTTGTAGGCTATGGAGCATTTCTTTTCTTTGGATTATTAATTACACTTAAAAAAACATCACAAACTACTTATATTCTGCTAAAAAAAAAAGTAATACTTTTAACATGCGAAGCTAAATAAAAACCAGTAAACACCAAAACAATCCCAAGACCCGCTTGATCTTGGCCGCCGAAGATCAAGGAACAGTTTCACAACACCGGTGAAAGTGCTTAGCGGAAACTAATCTCCGCGGCTCACGTAACAAGCGAAAGTAACAAACCATGCAAAAATGAAGATGGCGAGCACAGCGATACGAAACACGTACCCCTACCGTAGCCGGAAGTGGCCTGGAAAACGTGGAACGCCAGGCTGCTGATGTCCACCTGGGACGGCGCCAGCTTGAAGTTGAACCCCTCGGTGAAGGTGACGGCGCCGTCGCGGGAGGGCCGCGCGATGCCCGTGCGCTTCTCCTTCACGCTGCGGTAGTGCTGGTTGAGGGTGAGCCGGACGTAGGCCTCGTGCTTGTCCCCCTGGAACTGACACTAGGATGTCACTAACGAAAAGGGAAAATAGCAACGGTGTGGTGATCCAGCCCTGAAAACTAATGTGGGAGTAACGAAACAACAATCCAACTCACTATTTATTTAAAAACTTATACACCAAAAATACAAAAATAAAAAATATCACATCACTTCGCGTACTTGCAGAGGTAAAACACGGCGACTGTGACCGCCGCCCCCAGTAAGAACATGATTATGTGTGGCAAGTACTTGAGCGAGAGCCGCCTCCTCTCTTTCATCCCTAGGTTGATAAAAGCGATTTTCGAATCCGAGTAGGGTGGGTATCTACTAGCTAGGATCTTCTCGGGTAGGGCTTGGAAGTCCTTGACCAGAACCGTCTTCTTGTGGGTGAAGGTATCAAAGGTCTTGCTCCCGTGGTACGCCCCCATGCCGCTTTGTCCCACGCCCCCAAAGGGCAAATCCTCCACCGCTATATGCATAATCGTGTCATTAACACAAACCCCACCACTCGACGTCTCTTTAAGCATCTTCTCCCGATCTCTCTTCTTCGTCGAAAAGATATACAAAGCTAGAGGTTTGTCCCTCTTGTTGATGAAGGTGATGGCTTCGTCCACACTACTGATGGGTATGATGGGCAAAATGGGTCCGAAGATCTCCTCCTGCATGATGGGGTGGTTCGGACTTACATCTATGGCAATCGTAGGTTCTATGAAGCGGTCTTTAGCTTCATAGCGACCTCCAAGTGCTACTTTAAGTCCTGACAGAAGTCCAACCAAGCGAGTGAAGTGTCTATCAGTGACAATCCGGCAGTAATCAGGCGAATCCTGGATGTCCTGTCCGTAGAACTCAAGCATGACCTTTTGGGCACACTTGACGAACTTATCTTGGACTTCCTTCGTGCAGAGAATGTAATCCGGGGCTACACAAGTTTGCCCCGAGTTGATGCATTTACCCCACAGGACGCGCTTGACGGTTTTGTCAAGGTCAGCGGAGGCGTCAATGTAGGCGGGGCTTTTCCCGCCGAGTTCTAGCGTGACAGGTGTGAGGTAGCGATTGGCCGCTTTGTGAATAATTTGCCCCACCGCTGTGCCCCCGGTGTAGAAAATATAGTCGAAGCGCTCTTTCAACAACTCGGTGGTTTCTTTAACCCCGCCGAGGTACACAGGGTAGCATTCTCTATCCAGGTATTTGGGGAGGAGGTCGTACATGAGTTGACTGGTGGCCGGGGAGAGGTCAGACGGTTTAATCACCACGCTGTTCCCAGCTGCTATGGCACCTACATTACAATCGCATTAGTATTAAATTAAAAGTCAATTAATAGTCATTAAGATTCAAGGTTCGTGATTAAAAAAGAGGGCAACCTTGTCCGACGATGCACTTTGTTTATCTGACAATGAGAGGTAAACAGGTCTGGAAGAATTTTGTTTCTTTTATTACGCAAAACAAGTTTTTCAATTTTGTTTGACGTGCGATGGGTTTGTTTGCATGCACGCGATTGTTATTAATGTTCTGGAAGCGGAACTTTGGGTGTAATTATTTTTACTCGAAATGATAGTTAGAGATGTATTGTGTGGTATTTAGAGAGAGAGGAGTGGGTAAAAGTTGTTATTAAGTATCGCGACTGGTAATTTAGAAGCGTTTTTGCATCTCTTATTACTCTCTCAGTTACGTAACGAAAGTATGATGATGGGTTTAATTCGGGTAATTTGGGTGACCGAGAGCGGATGCGGAATTTGACCAGATTTGGGACCGGTTCGGTTTAGATACGACGCAATTTTTGGCAAACGTCGTGTTGGACAATTGACATTTTTCTTTTTTAAATGTAGTTGATTCTAGAAAGTTCCTAAACTTTTTTGTAGAAGCTGCTATAGGTCAAAGTTACGTCAAAAATTTTTTGGAAATGCCACGTTTGAAGCAAGAAGTTTGAAGGAAGAATTCATACCATAAGAGCCCCTGAGATTCTTTCACAATCTTAAAGAATAACACACTAGAAGCCCCTGCGATTCTTTCGCAACCTTGAGGAAGAATACATATATGTAATAGGAGCCCCTAGAATTCTTTCGCAATCTTGAAGAGAAATCCACGTGGAGCGCCCGAGATTCTTTCGAAATTTTTAAGAAAAAGACACTAGAAGCCCCTGAGATTCTTTCGCAATCCTAAAAAAAATACCCCAAGAGCCCCTGAGATTCTTTCACAATCTTAAAGAAAGACACATTAGAAGCCCCTGAGATTTTTTCGCAATCTTGAGGAAGAATACATAAAATAGGAGCCCCCGAGGTTTTTTAAGCAATCTTAAGGAAAAAGACTCTAGAAGCCCCTGATATTCTTTCGCAATCTTGAGGAAGAATACATACAATAGGAGCCCCTGAGATTCTTTCGCAATCTTGAAGAGAAATCCACTTGGAGCGCCCGAAATTCTTTCTAAATTTTTAAGAAAAAGACATTAGAAGCCTCTGAGATTCTTTCGCAATCGTAAAAAAAATACACCAAGAGCCCCTGAGATTTTGTCGCAATCTTGAGGAAGAATGCATAAAATAGGAGCCCCCGAGATTTTTTTAAGCAATCTTAAGGAAAAAGACTCTAGAAGCCCCTGATATTCTTTCGCAATCTTGAGGAAGAATACATACAATAGGAGCCCCTGAGATTCTTTCGCAATCTTGAAGAGATATCCACTTGGAGCGCCCGAAATTCTTTCGAAATTTTTAAGATAAAGACACTAGAAGCCTCTGAGATTCTTTCGCAATCCTAAAAAAAATACACCAAGAGCCCCTGAGATTCTTTCACAATCTTAAAGAAAAACACACTAGGAGCCCCTGAGATTCTTTTGCAATCTTGAGGAAGAATACATAAAATAGGAGCCCCCAAGATTTTTTAAGCAATCTTAAGGAAAAAGATTCTAGAAGCCCCTGAGATTCTTTCGCAATCTTGAGGAAGAATACATACAATAGAAGCCCCTGAGATTCTTTCGCAATCTTGAAGAAAAATACACTAGGAGGTCCCGAGATTCTTACGCAATCTTAAAGACAAAGGTACCAGAAGGCCCTGAGATTCTTTCGCAATCTTGAAGAGAAATCAACTTGGAGCGCCCGAGATTCTTTCGCAATCTTTAAGAAAAAGACACTAGAAGCCTCTGAGATTCTTTCGCAATCCTAAAAAAACACACCAAAAGCACCTGAAATTCTTTCGCAATCTTAGATAAAATAACACTATGAGCCCTCGAGATTCTTACGTAAACTTAAGGGCAAAGATACTAGAAGCCCCTGAGATTCTTTCGCAATCTTGAAAAAAAAACACTAGCAGCCCCTGAAATTCTTTCGCAATCTTGACAAAGAATACATACAATAGGAGCCCCTGAGATTCTTTCGCAATCTTGAAGAAAAATACACTAGGAGGTTCCGAGATTCTTACGCAATCTTAAAGACAATGGCACTAGAAATCTTCGTGATTCTTACACAATCTTAAAGGCAAAGGTACCAGAAGCCCCGAGATTCTTTCACCATCTAGAAGAGAAATCCACTTGGAGCGGCCGAGATTCTTTCGCAATCTTTAAGAAAAAGTACTAGAAGCCTCTGAGATTCTTTCGCAATCCTAAAAGAAATACACCACGAGCCCCTGAAATTCTTTCGCAATCTTAGATAAAATAACACTATGAACTCTCGAGATTCTTACGTAATCTTAAGGACAAAGATACTAGAAGCCCCTGAGATTCTTTCGCAATCTTGAAAAAAAAATACACTAGCAGCCCCAGAATTCTTTCGCAATCTTGAAAAAGAATACATACAATAGGAGCCCCTGAGATTCTTTCGCAATCTTGAAGAAAAATACACTAGGAAGTCCCGAGATTCTTACGCAATCTTAAATACAAAGGCACTAGAAATCCTCGAGATTCTTACACAATCTTAAAGGCAAAGGTACCAGAAGCCCCTGAGATTCTTTCGCAATCTTGAAGAGAAATCCACTTGGACCGCCCGAGATTCTTTCGCGATCTTTAAGAAAAAGACACTAGAAGCCTCTGAGATTCTTTCGCATTCCTAAAAAAATACACCAAGGGCCCCTGAAATCCTTTCGCAATGTTAGATAAAATAACACTATGAGCCCTCGAGATTCTTACGTAATCTTAAGGAAAAAGATACTAGAAGCCCCTGATATTCTTTCGCAATCTTGAAAAATAAAAACACACTAGCATCCCCAGAAATTCTTCCGCAATCTAGAGGAAGAATACATATAATAGGAGCCCCTAAGATTCTTTCGCAATCTTGAAGAAAAATACACCACGAGCCCCTGAAATTCTTTCGCAGTCTTAGATAAAATAACATTATGAGCACTCGAGATTCTTACGTAATCTTGAAGAGAAATCCACTTGGAGCGCCCGAGATTCTTTCGCAATCTTTAAGGAATAGACACTAGAAGCCTCTGAGATTCTTTCGCATTCCTAAAAAAATACACCAAGAGCCCCTGAAATTTTTTCCCAAGCTTAGATATAATAACACTATGAGCCCTCGAAATTCTTACGTAATCTTAAGGACAAAGATACTAGAAGCCCCTGAGACTCTTTCGCAATTTTGAAAAAAAAACATACACTAGCAGCTCCAGAAATTCTTTCGCAATCTTGAGGGAGAATACATACCATAAGGGTCCCTAAGATGCGTTCGCAAAATTGAAGAAAAATGCCCTAAAAACCCCTGAGATTCTTACGCAATCTTAAAAAAAGACATTAGAAGCCTCTGAGAATCTTTCGCAATGTTGAGGAAGAATACATACAATAGAAGCCCCTGAAATTCTTTCGCAATCTTGAAGAAAATTACACTAACGGTCCTAGAGATTCTTTCGCAATCTTGAAGAAAAATACACTAGAAGCCCCTGCGATTCTTTCGCAATCTTGAGGAAGAATATGCAATAGGAGCCCCTGAGATTCTTTCGCAATCTTGAGGAAGAATACATACAATAGAAGCCCCTGAAATTCTTTCGCAATCTTGGAGAAAAATACACTAGGAGCCCCCGAGATTATTTCGCAATCTTGAGGAAGAATACATACCATAAGGGTCCCTAAGATGCTTTCGCAAAATTGAAGAAAAATACACTAGAAGCCCCTGAGACTCTTACACAATCTTAAAAAAAGACTTTAGAAGCCCCTGAGAATCTTTCGCATTATTGAAGATGAATACATACGGTAGGAACCCCTGAGATTCTTTCGCAATCTTGAAGAAAATTACACTAAGGGTCCTAGAGATTCTTTCGCAATCTTGAAGAAAAATACACTAGAAGCCCCTAAGATTCTTTCGCAATCTTGGGGAAGAATATACAATAGGAGCCCCTGATTTTCTTTCGCAATCTTGAGGAAGAATACATAGAATAGAAGTCCCTGAAATTCTTTCGCAATCTTGGTGAAAAATACACTAGGAGCCCCCGAGATTCTTTCGCAATCTTGAGGAAGAATACATACCATAAGGGCCCCTAAGATGCTTTCGCAAAATTGAAGAAAAATACACTACAAGCCCTTGAGATTCTTACGCAATCTTAAAAAAAGACATTCGAAGCCCCTGAGAATCTTTCTCACCTTGAGAATGAATACATACGGTAGGAACCCCTGAGATTTTTTCGCAATTTTGAAGAAAATTACACTAGAAGCCCCTGAGATTCTTTCGCTGTCTTGAGGAAGAATATATAATAGGAGCCCCTGATTTTCTTTCGCAATCTTGAGGAAGAATACATACAATAGAAGCCAATGAAATTCTTTCGCAATCTTGGAGAAAAACACACTAGAAGCCCCTGAGATTCTTACGCAATTTTAAAAAAAGACATTAGAAGCCCCTGAGAATCTTTCGCAATCTTGAGGATGAATACATACGATAGAAACCCCTGAGATTCTTTCGCAATCTTGAAGAAAATTACACTAAGGGTCCCAGAGATTCTTACGCAATCTTAAAGAAAAAGACACTAGAAGCCCCTGCGATTCTTTTGCAATTTTAAGGAAGAATACGTAAAATAGGAGCCCCTGAGATTCTTTCGCAATCCTGAAGAGAAATACACTAGGAGCCCTCGAGATTCTTATTCATCCATAAATAAGACACTAGAAACCCCTGAAATCCTATCCCATATTTAAAAAAAGACAGTAGAAGCCCCGGAGATTCTTTTGCAATCTTGAGGAATCTTTCGCAATCTTCTCCCGAAAGTCAAGCTTTGAAACCCAGAAGATTTAAAATCTCTAAATACTCTACAAACTCTAGAATTACTAGAATGTTCAGAATCTGTAGAACCTCTAGAATGGGTGAAACCGATAGACTCCCAAACTTGTGCCACATTTAGAACCTCTAGATTGTCTAGAATCTTCGAAATCTCTGGAATCTTCCGAATCTTTAAACCATTTTCGGGAATATTTGGAATATTTGGAACAATTCTGGAGATTTTAAATATTTAAAGGTTCAACGTAATTCACAACTCTAGAGTATAGCAGTTCCTGCACTTCTAGAAATTCTAAACATTCTAGAGATTTTAGACGTTCCAGAGATTCCAGAGATATTAATATTCTAGAGATCCTAAAGATTCTAATTAAGGATTCTACAGGTTTTAGAGATTCTTGAGAATCAGAAGATTCCAAAGATTCTATAAATTCTAAACCTTGCAAAAATTCCAAAACTTTTAGAGTCTAACGATTCCAGAAATTGTAAAGATTCTTAAAATTCTTCTCTAAAACCTCTAGAATCTCTAGAATTGCTGGAAACATTAGACACTAAAACTTTGGATTTCTTGAAATCTTTAGAATGTCTAGAATATTTAGCACCTCCAGAATCTTCAAAACCTGTAGAGAATTTCAACATCTAGACCCTTTAAGATTTAGAATTTCGCGAATTTCTCCAACCTTAAGAATCTCCAAAATCTTTAGAATCTGCTTTAAAATCCAAATCTCTACATTCTTCGGTTTTTTTTAAATTTTTAGAATCTCTAAAAATTCCAGAATCTTCAGAATCTCGAGAATATCTAAAGTATCTAGAATTTTTGGAATTTCTGAAATTTTTAGAATCTCTAGAATCTTAATCTTCAGAATGTCTAGGACTACTGAAACCGTTAGACTTTAAAACTTTTACAATCTCTAGAATCTCTAAATTCTCGACAATCTCTAGGAATACTTGAATATTTGGAATATCTGGAATTTCTAGAATCTCTAGACTCGCCAAAATCTTTACAATCTTTAGAGTATCTTTAAACCAATTTCAACAATTTTTGGAATATTTGGAACATTCAAAATCTTTTTAAAAATTCTGAAGATTTTAAATGTTTCAATGTTCAACGTAATTCAGAGCTCTAAAGTATAGCGGTTCCTGCAGTTCTAGAGATTCTAAACGTTCTAGAGATTGTAGACGTTCTAGAGATTCCAGAGATGTTAAATATTTTAGAGATTCTAAAGATTCTAACTAAAGATTCTAGATATTCTAAAGATTCTAGGAATTCTAGAGGTTTTAGAGATTCTTGAGAATCGGGAGATTCCAAATATTCTATAAACTGTAAACATTGCAAAAATTCCAAAAGTTTTAGATTCTAACGATTCCAGAAATTGTCAAGATTCTTAAGATTCTGGTTTTCTAAAGGTTCTAGAGATTGTAAATTTTAGAGGCTCTACAGATTCTGGAGATGCTAAAGATTCTAGAGATTCTAAAGTTTCTAAAAAATACCATTTCTTTAGAATCTCTAAAACTTCTAGAATCTCTAGAATTGCTGGAGGCATTAGACACTAAAACTTTGAAAACTACAGAATCTTCAGAATGTCTAGGACTACTAAAAGCTTTAGACTCTAAAACTTTTACAATCTCTAGAATCTCTAAACTCTCCACAATCTCTAGGAATACTTGAATATTTGGAATATCTGGAATTTCTAGAATCTAGACACTCCAAAATCTTTACAATCTTTAGAATATTTACAATTTTTAGAATTTCTAGAATGGCTGGAATCGATGGACTCTAAAGTTTGTACTATATTTAGAATCTTTAAATATATACTATATAATCTCTAGAATTACTAGAATTCGAAGATTCTCTGGAATCTTTAAACCAATTTCAAGAAGCACCTGAGGAAGAGTACATAGAAGTGACGACTGTAAAGTTTGGAGAATTCACTGGTCCTTCGTATGTCGAGTAAATAAAGAAGCTGACAAGTGATCCGAATTATCAAGAGATCATTGATCCTCCTCCTACTGAAGAAGGACAAGATCTGACCACCACGACTACGATTACGATAAAACCGGTTTCTACTGATCCGCAGAAGCTTTTGAGATTTTTGAAAAACCAAGTACTACCTCTAGAACAACAACCGAAAAAACATATTCAGATATTCCAATTTTACCGACCAAAGCAACCTAAAAACGCCAAGTCAATAAATCTAAATAAAACCAGTGGCGAGAAAACTCTTTAAATGAAAAAAAAAATATCGAATGATAGATCAATGTAAATGTAAATTTCAGCCTCATGAATTATACAGGAGGACAACATCTCACGGAATATGAATAATATATTCCATCGGAACCAAATTTACGTACAAAAAGCGAAACAATGAAATGTTAATTAGGTTTAAAGCACGCAGATCACTTAAATTAATAATTACTTCGGCGAAGGTCCGAAAACACGCCAAACACGTATTTAGAACAACTTTTCACTTTCGCGAAAAAAATAGCAACTTAGATGGGACCATTGACGTCGGTGTGACCTTCAGGATTGGCAATAATCGCAGAATAATTGTAATTAAATTAACTTTAATGGTGATAATTGCACTGAATTCCATTAAATGCACTTTAATGAGCAACTTTTTTTTTAATAAACGTAATCAAAAATCACCTCAGTCTCACGAACCTTGAACCTTCCCAACCCCTCGCTCACCGATCACCGGCGTCATCGTCAGCTGCAGGGGGTAGTTCCACGCGCCCATCACCAGCACCACCCCGTACGGGTCGTTGTAGACCATCACCCCGTCCATCCAGTTGACCATCGCCTTCCTGGGCTTCTCCGGCTTGGCCCACTCGTCCAGGTGGTTCAACACATGCTCCACGTCCTTCACGAACGGGATGATCTCCAGCACCATCACCTCCTGTTTCGGTTTCTTCAGGTCCTGGTGCATCGCCTCCAACAGGGCATTTTGGTTCTCTTTGACGAACTCGAGGAGGCCGTTGAGCTGCTTCTTCCTGAAGCGCAGAGGTCGCGTCCGGCCCTCGTTGAACCTGTCGCGGGCGCTTTGCACCACCTGGGGGGCGCTCAGCGTCAGATCGATGACTGCGTCCGCTGCCATTTCACTCTCGATTCACTTTCTAGCTTGCATGGATGCAACTGTTAGATAAACCGGAGGAACTGTAGTGGAACGGTGGTTCTTGCCGATTGTGGCGGTGCAGCGGTTCGCCTTGGCGACAGCAATGACCGTGAGGAGGGTTCGGTTAAGGACGCGGAGTGGTGGGATGGGGTTCGGGAGCGTGGATAGGCCGAGAGGCGAGCACTGAGGTGACAGTGAATGTCATTGTTTGTTATCGAACGAGTCGGTTGGTGATAAGAGATTGGGGGGGAAGGTCAAGGGGCGATGGCGTGGAGGATAGGAATTTGGACCTGGTGCCCGGGTTCTTGAGTTTTTTCCACTTTTTCCAGATTACTTCGTCTTTGTCACTTGCGAGTGTAGAAATGGCAGAATTGGCAATATTGTATTGTATCAGTGTGAACTTTTGACACCTGTCATTTTCTTTGAAGCTGTCAATAATTTTTTGGCATGTGGGAAGGGCTCAGAGTTGAACACAACTGAATGAATGAATCGATGCGGGGTAGAGTGTCATTGTTTATTTTTATGGAACGAGGAGGTGGGTGGATTAATAAGCACGTATGGGAAGGTCGAGAGATTATTTTTCGGGTATTAATTTATTACAGCGATAAAAAATTTATGTGTAAACAATCCAAGTGTTGTAGTAATGTCAGGAATGATTTTTTTAAGAATTTTATTGGGATAGTAAATAAAACTATAAAAATGGGAATAATTTAATCACAACGAAAATAAAGTCCACCTGTATGGAGCACTGAAAGGCCGCATTTGATAGAAGTAGCGTGTGGGACGACCAGTGTTCACGTTAGAGATAAAGGAATGATTTATTATACAAAAGAAGCAACAAATGTTTCTCAAGGTTATTATTACATAATTAATAAAGTTAAGCTCCGATTGAATCCATTACTTCTAATATTAAAACTTTCCAATCTCTTTAAAATATTTACAAAATCGGTTGGTCGTTTACTGCTTTAAATATTTTTTAACTTATGGGTGATCCAGAGATTGTAGTACCAAAAACAACAATTAATAACTACGCAATTTCGTAGAACTACGTAAAAAATTCATTACCTTTCTAATTTATAATAATTTCGTAAGAAGTACGTTTTGCATATTCAAAGAGGAACGATGAAACAAAGTTTATAAATAAGAATATTTATTTTATTAGTTTAGCGTTAAATTTTAGACACATATTTGGACCAATTTAATTAATTTTATTAAGAATTATATTCTCATTTCAAAATCATGAAAAATCGACTCTAAACTAAAAAATACAAGTTTTACAGTTTTTTGGATTTAAAAAAAATCAAACCGAATATTTATCGAGAAAATATTCAAAATTCCTGCCTTGTAAGCTCGTAATGTTTCCAAATTTTTCCTTATTTGACGTGAATTACCTTGATCTGATTGGGCTTGACTTAATTTGACCTGACCTGACTTGACATCACCAAACTAGAGACTTGATTCAACAGAACATGATCTAGTATGACCTTATTTGACATGATTTAACTTGACATGAAATAAGTTGACTTGACCCAATTTGACATTATATGCCTTGACTAGAGAAGACCTGGGTTGAGTCGACAAAATCTGACTTTACACGACCTAACTTGGCAAGTTCTCTCTGACTTGCTACAACGTAACTGAACTGACACGACTTGATTTGGCAAAATCTGACTTGACAATACCTAATTTTTTCGCCCTTTTCGTCCTTTTCGTCCTTTTCGTCCTTTTCGTCCATTTCGTCCTTTTAGTCTTTTTGTCCTTTTAGTCTTTTCGTCCTTTTAGTCCTTTTCGTTCTTTTGTCCTTTTCGTCCTTTTGTCCTTTTCGTCCTTTCCGTCCTTCTCCGCCATTTCGTCCTTTTTGTCCTTCTCCGCCATTTCGTCCTTTTCGTTATTTTCGTCTTTTTCGTCATTTTCGTCCTTTTCATCATTTTCGTCCTATCCGTCATTTTTGTCCTTTTCGTCCATATCGTCCTTTTTCGTCTTTTTGTCCTTTTCGTCCTTTTAATCCCTTTCGTCCTTTTAGTCCCTTTCGTCCTTTTAGTCCTTTTCGTCCTTTTCGTCCTTTTTGTCCTTTTTGTCCTTCTCCGCCATTTCGTCCTTTTCGTCCTTTTCGTTGTTTTTATCCTTTTTGTCCTTTTTGTCCTTTTTATCCTTTTTATCCTTTTTATACTTCTCGTCCTTTTCGTCCTTTTCGTCCTTTTCGTTCTTTTCGTCTTTTTCGTCCTTTTCGTCACTTTCGTCATTTTCGTCCTTTTCATCCGTTTCGTACTTTTCGTCCTTTTAGTCCTTTGCGTCCTTTTCGTCATTTTCGTCCCTTTCGTCATTTTCGTCCTTTGCATCCGTTTCGTACTTTTCGTCCTTTTCCTCCTTTTCGTCCTTTTCGTTTTTTATTTTTTTTAACCTATTTATCCTTTTGATCCTTTTTATTCTTTTTATCCTTTTTACCCTTTCTATCCTTTTTATCCTTTTTATCCTTTTATCATTTTCGTCTTTTTCGTCCTTTTCGTCCTTTTCCTCCTTCTCCGCCATTTTGTCCTTTTCGTCCTTTTCGTTGTTTTTATCCTTTTTGTCCCTTTTGTCCTTTTTATCCTTTTTATCCTATTTATTTGACAAAATCTGACTGAAAGACCCAACTTTTTCGTCCTTTTCGTTCTCTTCGTCCTTTTAGTTCTTTTCGTCCTTTTAGTCCTTTTCGTCCTTTTAGTCCTTTTCGTCCTTTTAGTCCTTTTCGTCCTTTTGTCCTCTTCGTCCTTTTGTCCTTTTCGTCCTTTCCGTCCTTTCCGTCCTTCTCCGCCATTTCGTCCTTTTCGTCCTTTTTGTCCTTCTCCGCCATTTCGTCCTTTTCATTTTTTCGTCCTTTTCGTTTTTTTCGTCTTTTTGCGTCATTTTCTTACTTTTCATCATTTTCGTCCTTTCCGTCCATTTCGTCCTTTTCGTTTTTTATTTTTTTTAACCTATTTATCCTTTTGATCCTTTTTATTCTTTTTATCCTTTTTATCCTTTTTATCCTTTTTATCCTTTTTATCCTTTTTATCCTTTTTATCCTTTTTATCCTTTTTATCCTTTTTATCCTTTTTATCCTTTTTATCCTTTTTATCCTTTTTATCCTTTTTATCCTTTTTATCCTTTTTATCCTTTTTATCCTTTTTATCCTTTTTATGATTTTTACCCTTTCTATCCTTTTTATACTTTTTATCCTTTTATCGTTTTCGTCTTTTTCGTCTTTTTCGTCCTTTCGTCCTTTTCGTCCTTTTCGTCCTTTCTGTTCTCTTCGTCCTTTTCGTCCTTCTCCGCCATTTTGTTCTTTTCGCCCTTCTCCGCCATTTTGTCCTCTTCGTCCTTTTTATCCTTTTTATCCTTTTTATCCTTTTTATCCTTTTTATCCTTTTTATCCTTTTTATCCTTTTTATCCTTTTTATCCTTTTTATCCTTTTTATCCTTTTTATCCTTTTTATCCTTTTTATCCTTTTTATCCTTTTTATCCTTTTTATCCTTTTTATCCTTTTTATCCTTTTTATCCTTTTTATCCTTTTTATCCTTTTTATCCTTTTTATCCTTTTTATCCTTTTTATCCTTTTTATCCTTTTTATCCTTTTTATCCTTTTTATCCTTTTTATCCTTTTTATCCTTTTTATCCTTTTTATCCTTTTTATCCTTTTTATCCTTTTTGTTTTTTTTGTTCCTTTGACAAGATCCGAATTGACATGACCAGACCTAATATGATCTTATTTGACATGAATTACTTTGACACGATTGGACTTGACTTGATTTGAACTGATCTGACTTCACATCACCAGCCTTCAGATTATCTGACTTGAGAAGATCTGACACGACAGGACAAGACCTAATACGAACTTAATTGACATGATTTAACTTGACCTGACCCGACTTGACATACGACTTAACACGACTTGACAAGACCTGGCTTAACAAGACTTGAGTCAACAAAATCTGATTTGACAGAACCTAATTTGACAAGTCCTGTTTGACTTGCCACGACGTAACTGATCTGATTTGACTCGAAACGACAAAAATCCAATTTTGTAGAATCAGACCTAATTTGATTTTATTTAACATGAATTATCTTGACATGATTGGACTTGACTTGAGTTGACCTGAGCTCACTTGACATCACCACACTTATGACCTGACTCGACAGGAGAAGACCTACTATGACCTTATTTGACATGATTTAACTTGACATTAATTGACTTCCCCTGACTCGACTTGACTTGATTCGATTTGACACGACTTGGCAAGACCTAACTTGACTGGACCAGACCTAACATGACCTTATTTGACAAGATTGGATTTAACTTGACCTGACCTGACCTGACTTAACATCACCAGACTTGAAATGACCTGACTCTACAGGACAAGACCTAATATGACCTTATTTGACATGACTTAATTTGACATGAATTGACTTGACTTGACCCGATTTAACATGATATGACTTGGGAAGACTTGACTTGAGATAACCTGCCTTGACAAGATTTGTTGACAAGATCTAATTAACACAAGTTAATTAGACAAGATCCAGTTGACTTGACAAGATCTGATTTAACAAGATCTGACTTACTTGACAAGACGTGACTGAATTGATGGGACTTGATTTGACAAGACCTGATTTGACAGGACCAGACGTAATATGACCTTGTTTGATATGAATTACCTTGGCATGATTGGATTTGACTTGATTTGACCTCACTTGACAAGGATTGACTGGACATGACATGACTTGAGATGACCTGCCTTGACAAGATTTGTTGACAAGATCTGATTGACACAACTTAATTAGACAAGATCTAACAGACTTCACACGACTAGACTTGAAATGACCCCACTGGACACGACTTGATTTGACAAGATCTGAGTTGACAAGTTCTAACTGACTCAACACGACCTAACTTCACTTGACAAAATCTGTCTTGATCTCTCTTGACATGATCCTATTTAATCAAGTCAAGGCGGATCGTATATATTTAACTGGTGTCAAGTAAGGTAATGTTAGATCTGACGTGACGTGACGTGACTTGATAAGACCTGAGTAGAAAAGATCTGACTTAGTACAACCTCATTTCATAAGATCTCAATGACTTGTCATGACTTCACTTGACCTGACTTGACATGACCGTACTTGGCACGACCTAACTTGACATGATCTGACTTGACTTGACCTCACTTGACATAAATTGATTTGATATGACTTGACTTGACATGACTATTTGACAAGACCTGATTTGAC